CTGGTGGAGAGGCCGCAGCCCAGGAGGCTGAGCAAGGTAAGGGGGCTGCCCCCTCCCGGGCAAGGGGGCTCGGCTGCCTTGGCCCCGGCTTTATCCTTTATCCTGCTAAGCTCCTCCGTTCTGGAGCTTAGCAGGCATGGGAATGCCTCATCCGGCTGGGCACCCTGCTCCGTTGGGGGCCGTGATTTACAGCGACGGGGAGTTCCGCAGCTCCACCGTGCGTGGTGTAAAGAAAAAGGAATCGGCGTATCTCCTCGAGGGGTGTTGGGATAGCCAGTGGGGAGGTGTGCGAACGGGTTGGGGTCGCAGACTCAGAACTGGAAGGGACCTCGGGAAGGCATCACATCCAGTCTCCTGCCCTCAAGGTAGGACCAAGCACCAGATCATTCTTGACAGGTGTCTGTCTCACCTGCTCTTAAAAACCTCCCATGATGGAGATTCCACAAACTCTCTGGGCAATTTATTCCAGTGCTTAACCACCCTGATGGGAAGTTTTTCCTAATGTCCAACCGAAACCTCCCTGGCTGCAATTTAAGCCCATTATTTCTTGTCCTGCCCTCAGAGATTGAGGGGAATAATTTTTCTTCCTCCTCTTTGTAATAATGCTTGAAATCTGCTAGCATGTCTCCTCTCAGTCTTCTCTTTTCCTGGCTGTATGGGGGTCTGGCTTGTGTGGAGGGAGAGCCAGGGTAGGGAGCGAGGTTCCAGCCCTGGGCAGCAGCCATGCGGGGAGAGCTGGGTGGGAAATGGTTTTCCTGCCTAGCCAGAATTTTCCAGGCTCCTAAAAAGGGTCCTCTCCTGCATGGGGACAAGGAGCCGACTCTCCAGCAGTTTCACAAACCGACAGCCCAAGGGGAATTCCGATCCGGTCGGTGGAGATGTTGTGTTTGGATCCGTGTTTCAGTATTGACTTTGGATGTGGTTTTGTAAGAGCTGGGTCTGTATCATGATTTCTGAAGGTTGGTGGCTTGGAAGAACCCCGTGCCAGGCAAAGGTGCAGCCACAGGCTTGCCCGGGGGAGGGGGAAAGCTTGGAAGTGGGGCTGCCTGGTATCCAGTGCGTGTGTGTTGTGCAGGTGGGGGAGCAGGGCTTCTTAGCACTGGGATGGTGACTGCATGCTCACCTGTCACCAATGTTCCCTGGACGCTGAGTGCTTAGGTGGCCACCCAGGAGAGATTCAGGTGCCACCCAGCTGATGAGCAGAGTGCCCATAGCTGGCAGCGTGTGTTTATACAGGGGGTGCACATCCGCACATGGTACATGTAACAAAATTTATTCTGCACATGGATGGAAAAAAATTAGAGGGATCATTGCCTGTCATCCTTTGCAGCATGGGGCTAGGTGCCCGCTTCTGTCCCAAGAAGAGCAGAGGTGAGCACTGTCCTGGATTCCTAGGGGGAATAGCACCCTGTTTGCTTGTCTGCTCGCATTGGGAGCTGGGCTGCTTGCCAGCCGGTAGCCCAGCACTGCTAGCATTGATCTCAGATTCCCTGTGATGCTGCACCTCGCTGCTGTCCTGATGTGGCCGTGCACCACGCTCCTGGAGCAAGGCTGTAAATGATGGCACCAGGTGATGAATCTGACTTCACGGGCTTTGCCCTCCTGGACTGCCCATGTCCATGGCCAGAGGGGTCCTAGCAGTGGTGGTTTGGAGACATGATTTCTGGACCATGATCCCTCAGCCGTGCCCATGTGGAATGGGTAACTCTGGCCTGAGCTGTCCCTAATGGCCCATGGCCATCTGGACCGCAACTCAGACATGGCTACTGAGTTGCGCAGGGGCTGGGCTTGGGGGCGACTTTCTCTGAGCCTGCCCCAACTCAGTTCCTGTTTTCTTTTGGTCAATGTCAGTTCCTCTTTTGCTGCAATCACCTCACCAGCCAAGGCCAGGAGATAAGTTCTGTGGGCGTGAAAGATTTCTGGAGAGCCGGAGGCTCTGGCCAAACCCCTAAGGAGGGGCAGAGAAACGTGTTACTTCTTGTTCAGAGCAAGGTTCCTGCTCATCTTTTCCATATGGGTGTGGAATTTTTCCCATCTATGTGCGGAATAAAATTGTTAGGTGCACCAAGGCATGCGCAGATGTGCACCACCCGTAGAAACAAACCCAGCTGTGGACGTTCTGCCGATCAGCAGGGCGGCATTGGAGTCTTCCCTGAGTTGCCACACAGGGGCTGCAGGATGGATATGAGCATGGCCCAGAGACTTGGGAAGGGAGGTGCAGAGATGTCTCTGACCTGCTGACGTGCTCTCCTCATGGGGCTGAGCGCTGGATTCATCTCTGCTCTAAGTTAAGAGGCTTGAAGCCTGTTCTAAATCACGCTGGTTACCAGAGGCCCTGAAGAGCCCAGAAAGATGCTGATGGGGCACAGAGACGCCTCAGCTCAGCTCCAACCCTCAGCCCCCAAGCCATCCCCCATTGGCCAGCTGTAGGGGGAATAGAAGCTGCTAGGCTTGCCTCACACCCCTACATTGGGGTGAGCCCTCGAGGCTGGCAGTGCCGGGGCTAGAGCCGCTCTGTGCTGCCAGCGTGGTGCCAAGTGCCCGGGGGGCTGGGCGGAACGTGGGTTGACAACTTTCCGCCTGAACATCTCGGGCCGGATTCAACCCAGAGGTGTAGCGGCGTGTGGCTCCTGTTCCCGCTCCTGTCTCCCAAGCCACTGGGATCCCCGGCCTTTGAATTAAGCACTCGGAGATGGACGGGTCTGTCCCCGCCACCGATCCCTGAGCCGGGCTCTCGGTGTCACCGCTGCTTTCTGTCCCTCTGATCTGCTTGCCGCAAGCAGCCAGAGGCACTTGCAAGCTGTGGCAGAGAGAGGAAGTGGGTTTTGCTCACTAGATATATATTTATAATGTATTAGCTCTAATGCGCCACAGGACTACTCGCTGTTTCTTCAGATAGAGGGGAAAATGCAGACTCTAGAAAGGGACGGGGCTGGCGCGGGGCATCGGTCATTTGGAGTCAGGCGAGTGCATTTTGCTATTGACTTGTGCCAGAGAACATGGCACACCAGGCGCCTCTGCTGAAAAGGGGAAGACTGTCATCTCCCCTGGGGTGTCTGGAACGCCACTGGCAGCACATGAGCTAGGCCTATTGCAGCAAGTGTAAAAGGTGGTGCTGTTTGGCGCATGCCCACGGGGATTCTGGGCCGTGTGCGAGCACAGGAGGGGGGTTTCAGCGTGTGCCAGACCTTTCCACAAGCGATCAAGCAAACATTGAATCAATACCACTGGCCCAATTCACACTAAGGCCACTTTTCACCACTGTGGCAGTGAAAAGGGGCAATCAAGGGGAGTAAGTGCCGGGTGTTATAGTGCCCCATTATAACTCGAGTGGAAGCGCCGTTTCCCCACTTTCCTGTACAGCTTCCCCCTACTAGAACCATTACTCCCTGCTCCTTCTGAGCCCGAAGGGGCATTCACACCGGCCAGCTCAGTCACGTTGTAGGCAGCTGGGCTCTTTTTGGTTACCCAAGAGGACAAAACCTTGTCCCCTGCTTGTTTGGACACGTTAATGATCAAGCTTCAGGCTTGACCGGGGCTTTTGTCCCTGCCCGGGACATGTGCCTGTGACGGGGCTGGAGAAATGGCAGATTTATCCATGACTCACACGTGGGCACGCCGAGTGTTCCATGGAAATGCGAAGTAGCTCATGATCCGGGGGGGCCCCCAACCTCTGGCTGCCGGATTGGCCACTCGATAATAACCGTGCATGCCCTCTGATGCATCTGGCACCACCCACAGTCAGAAGACAAGCGACTGCCCTAGACGGACCCATGGTTTGACCCAGTGTGGTTGTTCTTAAGGCGGTGTGAATCCATAGCTCCCCACCCACTCCGGCAGTGTGCTGAAATTTACTAGAGGCAGGGAGAGGTGGGCTGTTGGGACAAGTTTCCTCGGTGACGTGTTGGCAGTTGCACTAACATCAGTGGGCGGGTACTGACTGTACGTCATAGGGGCTGCGCTCACAGAACCAGCCTGTCCTAATACAGGATCCAGTTATGCTGGGGCGTCCGTGGGAGGGGGAGTTCAGTGCAGCTGTTGTAGGCTCAGTTTTACCTGTGGAGAAATCGACTTTGGTTTTGAAAGGTTTGTCTACACGTAGAAGTCGCCCTGGTTTGAAAATGATTTAGCCCCAGTCTTGCACACAAAGCTGCTTTGGTTTCAACTGGAGGTCTGGCTTTATACAAGTTCAGTTAAACCAGTGCAGCTTTGTGTGTAGCTGCGTTTATACCAGCTTAATCCTGGCTTATTTTGGTGTACTTGTGTCCATATGGATACGAGCTGAACTGATTAAACTAGTATAAAAGTCAGTGCACAAAAGTTGGTACAATGATTTAATTAAACTGATGAAAGTGAAACTGGTGTAGACAAGCCCGAAGGGCAAAGCACTGTAGATGCTCTTCTGATGTTTTAGCTTTCACTTGTCGATATACTGATGCCAGTATGAATCAAATTTCAATCAGTTTAAGACTGTCCACACACACAGCTGCACCGGTTTAACTGAACCAGTTAAAGTCGCACCTTCAGTTTACACTGATGTTACTGAGTAGACTAGGCCATGCATACTCAGTTCAGCTAATAAAACAAACCCTGTGTTTCAGACTTTCGTGTTGGTTGGTGACATCAGCGGCGAATGTGCTATTTCTATGCCCACGTTATAGCTGGCAAGTTTTGATGAGCATTACTCAGTAGGCAGTTTGGAAATGCCAGAGGGAGGTGCACGAGTTGGTTTCAAATGTATTAAAAGGCTTTATAATTACAGTCCGAGGAGGAGAATTTCTAAAATACCTGATGGATTTAGGATCCCAGAGGCACTGGCATGTGGGATCCTAAATCCCTTAGGCACTTTTGAAACTCTCCTCATAAGAACGGCCGTACTGGGTCAGACCAAAGGTCCATCTAGCCCAGTATCCTGTCTGCCAACAGTGGCCAGCACCAGGTGCCCCAGAGAGGGTGGACCGAAGACAAGGATCAAGCGATTTGTCTCCTGCCATCCTTCTCCAGCCTCTGGCAAACAGAGGCCAGGGACACCATTTCTATCCCCTGGGTAATAGCCTTTTATGGACCTAACCTCCATGAATGTATCTGGCTTCTCTTTAAACTCTGTGATAGTCCCAGCCTTCACAGCCTCCTCTGGCAAGGAGTTCCACAGGTTGACTACACGCTATATGAAGAAGAACTTTCTTTTATTAGTTTTAAACCTGCTACCCATTAACTTCATTTGGTGTCCTCTAGTTCTTCTATCATTCTTCCTGAAATGTTAGCACAGTGTTACCGTTTCTTCAGAATTTGACAGCATGCTTTAAAGCTTGTTTCCACCTGTTTTCTCAATGTCATCAGTAAGTTTGTGTGTGGGTGGGGTGGGGGAGGTGTTACATGGGGATCTCTGCCCCCTACAATGGAATTATGAGGGTCCTTCACACTCCAGAACTCCGCAGTGCAGCTGCTGTCTTCCCTACTGTGGAGGACTGGAGGGGATCCCTTGCAGGTCCCCTCGCAAACCCTCTGGAGTGTGTCTCCAAGGAGCATGAGAACTCTCTCTCCGTGCCAGCAAGCCCAGCTGAGCGCAGGAGCTGTTTAACCCTTTCCTTCCCTGAATCCTGTAGGTTGATGGCTTCTCGTGGAAGAACTGTGACAACGGGACCGATCCCGTTGAGGTCCAGAGTCTCTCCTTAGCCCCAGATCCAATCTGCATTCCCGGGGACCTGAAAGTCAACCTGGCAGTTTCCAGTAAAGTGGACCTCACCTCGCCTCTGAAGGTAGGTGACAAAGGGCAAGCCTGCCGGAGAAGCTACTGCGGCGCTGTGGAGCGCTGGGAAAGGACGTTCGGGTTGCCAGGTGTCTGGTATTGACCCGGCCAGTCCGGTATTTTCGCCTCCTGTCCGGTAAAAAAATTCAGAAAATACCGGTCACCTGAAATGTCGGGTATTTTCTGTTTTTTCCCAGCCAGAAGGAGAAAATCCCAGATACAAACACTTGGCAACTGGGCCCAGCCCTCCGCGCTGTGGAGCGCTGGGAAAGGACGTTCGGGTTGCCAGGTGTCTGGTATTGACCCGGCCAGTCCGGTATTTTCGCCTCCTGTCCGGTAAAAAAATTCAGAAAATACCGGTCACCTGAAATGTCGGGTATTTTCTGTTTTTTCCCAGCCAGAAGGAGAAAATCCCAGATACAAACACTTGGCAACTGGGCCCAGCCCTCCCTCCGGGCGCTGTCCCCCCCCCCCCCCCCCCCCCGCCCCCCCGTCTGGTGGGGGTTCGGTATTTTTATTGAAACTCTCTGGCAATACTAAAGGACGTGCCAAAAGCCACCACAATGCCCGGCCCCGGCAGGAATCGCTAGGCCTGGGGCACGTTAGCCCCTCCACTGCTGCTGCTGAGAACTCTGATGTCTCGTGAATAGCCGTGTTTTTGGCTAGGGAACTCAAGGCTGGCTTTGTCTGGGCCCTGTCTGCCTGCTGGGTGGGAGCTTTTCCCTGAAATAGATCAGTATAGTCCTGGGTTCTTGAGTAGTCTAGGGGTTAGGGCATCTGCCTGGGGAGTGCAGGGTTGTAGGTTCAAGTACTGCCCCACCCACCCTGGGAGCAGACAGACGGTCGAGGCAGGCTGCCCCAGCGATGGAGCTCCATCCAGCATTAGGAAGGCAGGATAAGCAGCTGAAGTTAGGGAGGTGGGATGGGTTTTGGGGGGGGGGGTTGCCTTAGGGTGTGCTGGGCTTGGGGCAACTTCCCTACCCCAGGTGTGGGGACCAGGCAACCCCCTTTTCCTGCCTCACCTCCACCCTTTTCCTTCCACTGTCTTCTCTTCCCCGAAACCCCCTCCTTGGGGAGGATTAACTGGGGGGCGGAGGGGTTGAGGTGGGGTGGCAGCAGGGTTCCCCCCCCCCCCACCATGGTGGCGGGAACCGGAGCAATGCAGCAGCCTGCTCCGCTCTGCCGCCATCTCCCAGCCTCTGTGCTCTGCTTCATTGTGCCAGGCCCCTAGTAATCCCCTAGGCCGCCCCGCAGGCTCCCATCAAAATAGGGGTCGGTGCCATCCATAGGACGGTGGGGGGGGGCTGCTGCCACGGGGGCCCCTGAAAACACAGGGCCTGGGGCGGCTCCCTGAACTGTCCTCTGGGCGGGCCGGCTCTGGTGCAGCCCCTCGGAGGGATTGAGAAAGGGGCTGAGCCCACGCGGGCGGGTCGCCTGAAGCAGCCCAGTCATTCCCTTGTGACTTCCCGCCCCCTCGCCGCGCCCCACGGCCTGTGCAGTGGAGCTGGGCGAGATCCAAGGCGCTCCCAGCTCCCGCTCCCTGGAGCAGCCTGGCGGCGTCTGCGTGAGGCCGGGCTGACGAGCGAGGCTCAGACTCGCCCCTGCGGGAGCGTAGCCAAGTCGGAAAAGGGCGGGTGTCGGGCCAGGGCACCCACGGGTCCCAGCGAAGCCAGTGGGCGCCGTTGGGGGCGCAGCGCCTTTGCGGAGAAGGGGCTAGAGGGCGGCTGGGGAGCCCGTCCGCCCCAGAAGCCTGGTGTTAGATGCAGCGACCTCGAAGTGGGGAGTGAGCTCACTCAGCAAAAGGCTCCAGGGGGTTCAGAAAAGAGGGACTAGGAAAAGGGGGGGGGGGAGGAAGGAACATGGAAGCAGGGAGAAAGGGGGACAGAGTTGGGGGCTCCTGGGTCGGGGGTCCCATTAAGGTCAGGAGGAAGGGAAGACAAGGGGAGTCCTTCATCGGAAGATGAGGCAAGAGATGAGGATAGTCCAAGGTGTGCAGAGAGGCAGGCAGGAGGGGCCTGACTAGCCACGCGGAGCCGACCTGCTGCCCAACCCCAAAGCCAGACTCGGTTCCTGATTGTGGAGACGCTGATAACAAATGTGACCACTTCCTTAAAACTCCCCTGCCTGTGCACAGCCCCTGCTGCAGGGGGGGGCCTTCCTGGGGACCCCCAGCAGAGGGTCTAGCCCCTAGAGAGCAGTGGCACACCCCACCCAGGCTGCACACCCGCGGAGGGGTGGGCTTTGCAGGGCATCTGCCCCATGGGGTGGGGGGAGGGAGCGCTCGATGAAGGGTGCAGCAGTGGTGGCTGAAAGCAGAAGCGGGCCCTGGTTCACTGAGTTGCCCAGCTGTGCGAGCTGGGTTATGGGCTGGCGGGGGAGTGGAGGGGAGCAGGGTGCGGTGCAGGCCTCCCTGCCCATGAGGGACTCTGTGAACCCCGTCCCGCCCTTCCTGAGTGTGCGAGCTGGGGCAGTTACACCACCTGTGCCCAGATCTGCCAGGTCAGGCCTCTCCGCAGCGGTCTCTGATGCAGGGTGG